TCAAAAAGGGCTGTAACGGACGATCTGCAGATTCGGTCCGGCATCATTGCCTTGTAGTAACTCGCGTTGTGTGTGTGTGGGGGTGTATGCATTACTCAAGAACACACGTACGCGGAAACACACACACACACACAGACAGACTCTCTCTCTCTCTCTCTGTCTCGCGCTCTCGCTCTCGTTTTTGTATCGCTCATGCTGACATCCGCCATGCCGCAACAAGTGTTAAGGCCAAGTGTGACCCTTAACACGCACTGGGTATTTATATATACACACACATACACATAAATGCCTGCCTTGCTACCCCTCTCTCTCTCTGTCTCCCTCCCTCCCTCTCCAACTCTGACCCTACGGTCTTTCGACATGCCTGTTCACTTTCATGTTCCATCTTCCCGTGTTGTCTTCTTGGTGGTGGCAGTGGTGGCTCTGCAGTCGCAGCAAAAAACAGATGTAGAAGCATCAGGAAGAGAATACGAGGCTTCCATCTCATGCAGTGATATTTGACAACTCATCAGAGGACAACCACGCGTGATAAGTCCCCATCTACGGTTGTGCGTTCGCAATCTAGCTTCAGCTCCTTTCCTAGTCTCATTAAAGTCGGGTCTGCCGCAGTCGCGGCACTGAGAGCGACACCCCATCTCTCTCCCACCTCAGGCTCCATCGGGGCATGGGGCTTTGAGTGTTTTGGTCATTTACAGGCCACTTCAAAGGAAGACGGATCCTGGTCACAAAGCGTGCTCCTGAGTGAACGCGAACCGTCAGCTCAGTATACAGGGGTCCAAAAAGATGCACTATACAGTCCCTCGAAGTATGCAATGGCTCGACATACAGCATGTTGTTCTTTTGCCAAGCGCTGTTGTCCCAAGGCGTTGCTGAAGAACCTGCATACAGCATACACACGTAGCTGTTCGCCTAGATGCCGGCCGTGATTATCAGGTTGTCTTGGAAAATGCAGGCATGCATGAACGCCTGAACATCGACAGCCTACGCCGTAAAACCCTTGGCTATATCTCTCAACCCCAACCCTCAAAGTCAAAGCTTAATATAGGGGTCGGAATACTTACTGGCAAAATTCCCGAACCCTTTAATTCAAGGAACCCTACTCTAATTTGTCAGGTCTTGGGCCCCATAAGACTTTCCTTTGCAGGGTTCCTCAATAGGATTTCCTGATATACGTCCTTAAATAGGTAGCTTAAGCTGAACGTTACAGTTCGACCCGGCCTTGGCCGGGGCAAACGACGGCGGCCAAGGCTGTCGAGCCGGATCCAGGAGTGAATGCAATGCAATACTGTAGTGATATAAATATTGCACTACGATAAAATCTATAAGATAGTCAGCATTACATTGGACAAAAGAAGATAAGAAGACCCAATAACATGCTATGTAAAATAATGGAACATGATGAAGTAGTAAGGTAGCTCATATACAGGGCTTCGGGTCAGGGTTCTGGGTTTGCGTGCGAAACTTTTACGGTGTAGCTTAGGGTATAGGATAGGGCTCAGATGTATAGGGCGTAATTAGTATAGAGCTTTGGTTTGCGGTGTAGTGTAGGTTGGGGTTCAGGGCATGACGGCTTTTCTGCCAGGCAGAAGGCTTAGAGGGTGTGGGAGATTGGATTGCGATGGGAGCGGCGTTGATTCTGAGCGCTTTGGTCTCCCGTCATGTGGGACCCAGTTCTTTCGTCTTTCTTTCTGACCTCTGCATCAAGAGCGGAGGCCCTGTCCCGGAAGCATTCGAAGCGCTCAGTCAGCCCCGATACTTGCCGACTGCCTAGCCCTAACTTGCTCAGGCAATCGCGCAGGAGTTGCACGGGAAGCTTCCCGACATCCTCTAGACTCGATTCCGAAGGTGTAACTTTTGCAGGAGCACGAGTCACGATGTTGACAGTTGGGTATAAATAACGAAGGTGTGCCGCTTCAGGAAGTTCTTGTTCCTGCATAACCCGCATAAACCAAGAGTAGAAAACCAACCGTTGGATTTCATTTGCGTTGTAAAGCGCATCGCGATGCAAAAGGACTTCGAACACAAATGTGTATATATATATATATATTTATTTATTTGTTTATAGTGTGGAACTGCTGCAGGTACTGTTGCAAGCGCTCTATAGACAAACAGCACAGGCTGCCCACATTGGCAGCCCACGATATAACGATTAAGTATCCCTATGCCCGGTGATGGCATTCGGTTTAATGGGGTGGCCGCATGCGTCGCTACCGCCTGGGTTCAGGTATAGGACATTAGCAGTAGAACACCAACACCAGCAGCAACAGCAGCTGCAGCAGCAACGCAACCACAACTATAACCACCACAAAACAAATCCTGGGGTCGGTTCTTTCTCTTCGTTGCCCGTGGGTCGCCCTTCCGGAGACCTCGTGCAAAGCCCTGCAGCGAAACAGTCTATGCTCAACTGCAACTTACCTTTGCCAACATCCTTCTGCTAACCTCTTGGCTGTTCAAAACCATGGTAACCCCATCAATCACGAAGCTCATGCAACCTACCGATGAGTCTATCTCTGCAAACTTGTCAGAAGGAGACCTTCTTCCCTAAACCCCTAGAGCTTCTTCGACCTGACTTGCCAGGCAGCAATCTTTGCCGCCAGGCAAAATTAGCGACCTTCTATGGCCAGCTGCCTGGAGTTAAAGGTACAGTCATGGGTTTAGGGCTGTAAGGTTTATAAGGTTTTAGGGTTTTGGGGTTTGTCATTTCAGCAACCGACAAGTGCCATGGGAAACTTCACCATCAGCCCTTGCAGGGGCAGATCCCGACAGTTTGCAGGATTGGGTGTAGGCGGTTTAGGGATAAAAGATCCAGAAACCCCAACACACAAAGCGAGGCCATCTTGACTGCAGCTCAACATATCAGGGCTACTGTATGGATACCACAAGGCAGCCACAAGGACTCCCTAGCTTCTGTGAAGATTTCGGATCAAAAATCTGAGGAATTACCCGACAGCTTGGCTCACATGAAGATCCTGGCTCGTCCGGCCAGATAGGAGTGAGACGCATGACAATGTTCAGGGCAGTTCAGTGTTTAGGGCTTGAAATTGAAAGAGGGGCATGAGACATGAAAGCGAAGCGAACAAGGCAATCTACAAAACGTCTGACTTCTACAGCCTTGCGTGGGACGTATGCTGGCATTGGTGGTGAGCGTGAGGGTGCTGTGATTTTCATCATGAGCATGATGGTTCTGGAAGCGGAGCTTGAAGATGTACATGCCCCACAAATCTCTTCACGTCCGTGTCAGTAGCCGGGGCAGACTGCGTGACTGCATGCATAGGACGGACCCAGTGACCATGTCAACTGACCCGACGCTTCTTTGTGTGGTGCTGAGAAGAGACAAAGGACATGATTGGTTGTCAACAGCGAGACCACCCTTCACATCCCAGCCGTGTTTCAGACAATGACAGCAGTAGCAGTGGCAACAGCACAAGCTGCTGCAGCAGAAGTCGCAGCATTCGTAGCAACACTGATCGTAAGCAGAAATTATTATTATTATTATCAGTAGTAGTAGTAGTAGTAGTAGTCGTCGTCGTAGTAGTGGTGGTGGTGGTGGTGGTGGTCGAAGTCGGAGCAGTAGTGCACCCAAGACGCAGATAGCAAACATCCACACACACCCTGCACATTAAACTCACATTTCTCCCAATCTACTGAAGAGAAGCAGGCGACGGAACTCGATCCCTGAATCCTAAGCCTGTGAAACTCTGCCAGCTCAGGGCTTCAAGACCTGGAAAGCAGGATTTTTGTTTAAGGCAGTGTGCTCCATCATAGGGGCTTTCGCACGGGTTCACGAGCCTCCAGTCCAAGGGGTGTAGGGCTGCAGGGCAACACGAAGGTGGGTAATTCATGCTTTCGAGAATGCAGCGCCATCGTTTGCTTGCATCAACAGGATCACTAGTTTTGGGTTCGACTCCACTGGCATAGGTCTTGATGTCTGGCGGTGATGGGCGGTAGCTATAATAAGGCTTCGACGACGATACTGCGTGAGCGCCCTCAGGCTGTGGACATTGTATAAGCTTCTGAGGCTCAACATTGACCTCATGTACCCTAAACTCAAGCACGCCCGAATGCTCGCTCTACACCCCTTACAGTATGCCCTGAACCGCAGTCGCCTCACGCTCCATACCATGAAGCCCTTATTTAGGGTCAGGAAGCCCTGAACCCGGAGCCGTCAGTTTTGTCCCGCTCACTTCACGGTTTCGGACACGAAGTAGGGGGCGGAATGTCGGCTTTCGCAGTGGCGCTGAAAATATGCTCGCGTTTGTTGGGATCTCGGACTCACAGTTTCAGAATTGGATGTAACTCAGGGATCAAAAGAATGTTGGCGTGCTTCCGCTCCTTCTAGAATGACAACAGGACTGATACAGGAGTCTGTCGACGGATTTGGGGTTTAGATGCTTCTGGGGGATCTAGAAATTCTTCACTCTCCAAGTTCACCGAAGTCTACTACCATGTGATTGCAACACTATACGCTCCATAAAGTGCTAAACAGATAAACTCTGATACTATTTCCCTCGCACGCGTGTGTGTAGGCGCGGAGTGGTCAATATGGCCGACATGGGCCGACCAATCCGCCTGCGGCTACTGAGCTACTTGTCTGGTTGAGAGGCAAACACTGCCAACCCAAGGCACCGCACATGGCAGTGGCCTTTAAACACTTGCATGGTGAAAAAGTGGTCTGATGGTCTAGGCAGCACCTCGGCAAGAAGTGTAAACGGGAAAAACTGCTTCTTGCAGCGCTGACTATGGACAATGAACAGTTTGAGCTGGGAAAGGTGTCTGGCAAAAGACATAAGAAGATTTAGAGCTGCTTTCGGGATTGAGAACTGACTAATTTATTCCAGCGTATATGCCCTAATTCGAAGGTGATAGAGCACCACGACGACCACGACAACGCTGCTGCATGCCTTGCATGACGCCTGTACATTTTTCTTAATCGTGACCTATCTACGCAAGAACTGCACGGTTCTGCTTCCGCAGGAGCCCGTGCTGTGATACAGCGATTGCTACACAAGAGCTACAGTGTGGAACTGAGCTCTGCATGCAGGACACGAGCCTGCAGCTTCGGCCAGGGAGAGCGACCAGGATTTGATGCAAGCTTCCTGAGCTGCTCGTCGAGCTTTTTCCACATAACCGAAGCACATCCTACATTCTGTAACGTGTCGCAAACAACCCCTCAACCTTCCGGCCAAGCTGCGTGGAAAATATGCCCACAGGGAAGAATGGCCACCTGGTTAGACTCTTCGAAATCATCAAGGCAGCACAAGCACGTCTTGACCACCACGGGGTTGCAGGGCCTCGACTGCCCACACCCTCACAGCAACCAGGGTGGCATTATGGAAACTGGTGCAGGCCCTTTAAAGACAAGAAGAGCAACATTCTACTTGCTGGGTGCGGCCCAGTCTCATCCAGGGAGCAGGGCAAGGGGCCGCCCACTCTGCAGGAGGTCCTCTCTGTGCACAGTGGCTGCAGAACTCGGGACGAGACATCTGCAAGTTGCTGAAGAGCTCAGATGCCCAAACTCGTCGCACCTCCTTCCTGAGCTGTTTGCAGTGCAGTACAAGCTCCTCAGGCATCCCTAATCTGACAGCACTTCAATTAGTTTTTGTTTCAAGAAGTTGCGACCCAGGATTGAAACGGGAAGCAAGCTTAAGCAAGCAGACGAGCCTCTGTGCTACTGGCAGCGGCGTGGGCTCCTCCCAATGCACGACTGCTCTGTGGTCAACAGCGATGCATATAGCTCCGGTGAGAGTTGACAAAGCGATCGGGTAGATCAAGACAACGATCCAGCGCGACTCCTCGTTGGTTTCGTGCATGTCTGGGTGGAGAACCAAAGCCGTGGCCAGAACAATGAGAACAAGACTTGATGCCGCCAGGACAAACACGAGGAGTATCTTTTTCAGTGTCATCCCATAGCAGCATAGACTGTGCATCATGGCCCGGTCAGGCCATGCAGGCATGAGAAGCCTTCTCATTTGATGAAAGGTTCTGCGGAACGGTGTTTGCTGGGCACGTGAAACAAAGCGCCGACTATGCTGAGCAGGCAGATATGCAATGCATTGCATACCTATAATTACGTATGTATGTATGAATACATACATATATATATATGTATATACATGTGTATGTGAATAGTGGTGCAGCACGGTGCAGCATAATGCCGAAGCCGCAGCCACGACTTCTGCTGTATGGCACTGGCCAGATGCGGAACTCGTGGACAACACACAAAAGCACTCAATGACTCAACGACCTGCAAACAGCCAAGCGAGTCTTGTACACAGAGTACAACCTACAGCTGGGTCGCTTCTAGCTTTGGCATGGCACATGTATGCAGATGCCCCCACCTATGCTCGCACTGATTCTGTGTAAGCCTCACCGTGCAGGTTCTAGACATGACATAATACAGATAATCTGGAACCTTGCTTGTAAAAACGAAACAGAAGACATTTCCGAAGCACCAGAAGCAACCCTAAATCCGAAACCCTACAACGCATGGCCGGGCGGGCCTGGGCTGTGTCATATGCCGTCGGGGAGTTGCCGAGAGTCACCCAAAGGACGAAACGCTGGTGGTCCTGCAGCGGAGCGGCTGTCTGCTTCGCTTGGTGCTCATGTGAGACCGCTTCTGGATCAGGGCAGCTACTGTTCGAGACAGGCTGCTCTCAAACTACACACACGAAGCAACCCGAATTCCGCCGAACTCGAAAATGCCACACGATAACCTCTGATGGGCCTCCGCTCTTAGAAGCCAGACTCCAAGGCTGTGGATAACCCAATTCAATACCGGCATGCCCCCGACCCTAACAGTGGGACTCCTCAACCCTATCAACCTGAAGCTCTCTAAACCCCATACCTAAAGCTTACCACCAACATCTCTAAACGAAATACCCGAGCAACCGGCGTCATCGTCACTCCTTCTCAGAATGCCAGCAGTTGCAGGCAAATCACTTCTAATGAGAATCTTTACAGCAGTTGGCGGCAACATTGCTACTGAGCATAGCAATAACAGCAATCACAGTAATGGCCGACAGCTGCCCGACGAAAAACACTGACAGCGGTGATACTAAGCAGAAACAACAATAGTCTTCACGAAAAGGTATAGTAGAATACAGTAAACAACTAGTATTCGCAATCGAATAAGCATCACAAACATATCACTGATGATCGACATGAGAAGAGAAAGATAACTAAGACTGAGACTAATACTATAATCAAAATATTAACAATAACCATAGCAACAATCAAGATAATGATGATACGATTAATATTCGCAATCATGATTACCCCTAGTACGAGCAATAACCATAACACGAATAATAGAATAATAATGACAATCATAAAAATAACCATAATATTCATCATGATAATAATAAGAACAATAATCATAATAATAACAAATTAATGATAATGAAGCTCGGCTTCGTTCCCCGACCTGCATCTCCCAGGGTGCGTCCCGAGGACTGAGGCGTCATCATCCGCAGCTCCTAAGACGACCGAGGCTGGGGATCGGAGAACTTCGAGGGTTCAGGGTTGAGGGTTTGGGGTTTAAGGGCTTAAAATGCAAATGAACAAACACTATATATATAATATAATATATATATATATGTAAGTAAGTAAGTAAGTACGTACGTAAGTAAGTAAGTGTACATACATAGGTCGTGTTTCGGGCTTCGGATGTAGTTTGTTGCTTTTAGGGTTTATAGTGCTTAGGCGGTTTAGGGCAAACATCTAGCTCTTTTTGACATGTTCCTATGCCTAATGGTAAATGCGGACAGTCATGCTGTACTCGTGGCGGACGCAGAAGAAGAAAGCTGCACTACTTAAAGGATCAGGGTACTTAGTAAGTAGGGTCATAATAGCTAATCTGAGTACTTACAACCCCATTTGTCTATGCTGTTCTTCTCAGAGACTGAGTTGCAGGGTGAAGGATGGATTCGACCCAAAGACTTCTACCACGCCGACAAGGCTGCACAAGGAAACCTGCTTGTCAGGTTTGTTCCTCAGGACCTTAAGCTCTAGATTCTAGATCCCCGATCTGCGGCTTGGGGCCCGAAGCCGCAGCATTGAATCCCAAGCCACAGAGTTTGTTTTAGAGAATCAATGCCATACCTAACTCCATCCGGCATGCCGTAAGTCCAAAGTGCAGCTGGAATTGTTGGTACCGCTCAGAATGGGTCCGAGGCCAGCACACCATTCGGTCTCTCCTTGGTATTGTGCGCGTGCCGGCGCAGAGGGTGAAGGCTGCAAGCTTCCGGCTCCACGAAAATGGCCGCCGCAGGTGTTTCTGATTGCTATTTTTACGAAATGACGTTGGAAGTGCGAGTAGTAGATGGTTTTCGAAATGGGTTTTCCTAGTTGGTCTTGTCTTGCAGAAATACCTCCCAGGTCCCAGGTGACGTCCGAAAGTACACAGATTGGCCGGACTCCGGACTGAGGGGCAGGAACCTACGAATACTATGCAGCTTCCGGGTTGCAGTTATTGAACGTCGTCAGTTTCACCATGTGATGCGCAGGACTTTTAAAAAGGGGGTTCTGGGACTTTCTTCCGCAGCTAGCATGTCAACTTTGCTGCAGATCGAAGACTTTGTCTGCAACCAGCGGTGCACAACAACGGGATATACTCTCTGAGACTACCCTAACTCACTCAAAGGATCCACCAAAGGCTCCACCTGGTCGTCCAAGCTACGAGCCCGCGGATGGTCCTGATGAGTTCAGACACACAGCCCACGGCTAACTTAGGGGCCTGAATAACTAGAGTAGGCTTTTGGGGTATGTTATACTATAGTTATAATGAGAAACCCCCCAAAATTATTTAGGCCCCGGTATTGCGCAGGCAAGGGCGGAACACTGATCAGGCATTGCTACCGACGGAGGGCCAATATTGAGGTTCATATATACCATTACACAAGGTTGGAGGCCAAATGCCAACCGGACTGGGGCCAGATTTTACTCATCTACGTCAAACCTGACAGGAAACCTGGGGGGGGGTGGTTTGACACCATCGTTTCACCTAGAGGTGGGCCGAACAAATTTCGTCTTGAGGCACCCTCTATTTGCACCCAAGACATCCCAAGACCTAGCGGCTCCCAGCTTTTGCAATGCGGCGCCTTCCTGCCATGCCATTGCCGTGCGGAGTAGTGCACATCTTCAATGGGGGTTGCGCTTCGATCATAACAATGGTGAGGTCATGAACCTGAATGATGAAAACAACATCTCCACCCCACGACCCTAAATCGGCGGCCCTACATCCAGAAGTACCTTCGGCCTACAAGCCTGAAAGGGCCTTAGGACTCAAGGCTTACCCTCGCTGAGGCCTCGTGTGCACCTATCAACCGGCTGTGATGCTCAGAGCTCTTCTCTGAGAAACAAAATGATCTCAGCCATGGCTTGCTTGCCTTGCTGACTTGGTGAGGGGTTTGGGGTTTCGGCGCTGGGGTTTAGGGCTGTGCATGTTTGATGTAGTGAAGTGGTCCGCCACTCTCACTTGGGCTTTAAGGAAGGCACAGCGAAAGGTTTCATGGCTCGGGCTGTACGGACGAATCACATGTTTACATACGAGTTGCAGAGGCAAAACCTCCGAGATCACTTCGTTTACTTGTGAGACAGCGCCAAGATGCCTGATCACACACACTGCAGTAGACTTTGATAGCAAACATTAAAAGCCCGGCTCCCGGGCAGCATTGGCTTTAGACTTTAAAGCTCGCACGTCGCACCGACAAAATACCGAGGCAGTAGAAGGATATTCGAGTGAACGTTGTGGCTAGTCGGCTAGCCCGGTTCGCTGGCTTAACGCTTGGATGGAGAATCTAGTACGATGTCGCACAACACCATGACCGACGATTACAGCGGGCGCCCACCTGGCTTCTCCCCAGAATGAACACATCTAGAACCGAAGACCAAGAGTGAGTGCTCACATCTGCAAGTGAGGACTTTCGTCTGTACGGCAACACTACAGCCTTCGTGCGATCAGGATCCCAGCTCTCGTTCCGGAGGTTGTGCACCACAGGGCTGCTGGCTACGACGTGGCTCTGTCCATGCTAGGTGCTGTTAAGGCAAGTTGGGACAGCCTATTTGCACAGCCTCCTTGTAGGATTATCCGGTAAGCCGGCCAGGAAGTCGCCCAAGCACGGGGGGGGTGGGGGCTCGCTTCAACGGTGCATCGGACAACTCTAAGTACAATCAACTCTCCCTACCGGGAGCTACACCCGAATCCACTTGCCCAAAAGCCGGGAAGACATCCGGGCTGGCTTCCGACTGGCATAGCTGGCGCAGGCGCAGAAGAATTACTACAGGAGCGGCCAAGAAAAAAGTTTACCATGCATAGGGCTTGAGTGTTCTGTTTATCGTCTATGTCTCGCAATGCTGCAATAATTATAACAGTGTGGGATGCTGCATAGCGCTGGCAAAGACTAGTGCGATTCATGAATGAGACCCCGTGTTGCACAAATAGTTGCTGTCTACTGGACGAACTCGGGGTGGATGTCGGCTATGGGAAATTCTGCAGCCAAACTCAGATAGAGACCGTATCGCCTAAACCCTAAACTGTAAACCGTGCAGATTTGTGTATGCAGTTCTACATTGCAGAGCTTGAGGATCCGCCAGGAACCTGTATGTGATACATGCGCTTATAGCGTGTGCACATGCGGAATATCCTTGTATGCACGTATGTATGCATGTATGTATGTATGCATGTATGCATGTGTAATTCCCTTTTTCTTTTGACTAGACTTGTCCTGTAAAGAGGACGAACACATGTGTCCAAAGAGGAATGCCGTTCAAGCTGAACATCCGCTAAGGACTTCCCAGCATTAGCTCTACTCCTCATTCAGGGTTGGCACACGCATTGCTGGCTATCCCAACATAAGAACAGCAAATCGCAACCAACCAAAGCTGGAAACACGTGAAACACTCTCTATCAGCATAGATGTTATGTAGCCAGGCACGTCCGCATGCATTTGCAAATGTGTACATACTTAGAGAACAATGTAACATACATCAAGACCTAGATGCGTAGCCTGTTCCCCGAACTCTGAACCTTATATAAAGTTCGACTCCTCAGCCCAACCCACAGCCTTAATCCCCAAACCCTAAAGCTAGAAAAATGTTCTCCTTTTTCCTTGGCCACCCTACACCCTCAGAGAGTCATAGGCAGCTTTGGCAGCCTTGAAGTTAGCTGTAGCCTGCAGCAGGACAGTGGTCCTTGTCGGTCGTACTTGCTTCGGGGTCCTACTATTTGCGGATGTTAGGACCCCTCCTTTTCTGCAGCTCCCACATGGGAAAGCTGCATAATTAAGATGTTTAGCGTTTAGTCTTAGCAGTGTTCGGAATCGCTGCTCCGGTGCAGGAAGCATCGACTGGAGGTGTTGACAAAAGAATTCGGGCCCAAAGCAAGGGTCTAAAATAACATCGGGTTATTCTGTGCTTGAGCGTCTCCAGAACTCTTTCTACAAATTCCGCGAAGGTTCTCGGCAGAAAGAAAAAAAAGCAAACGTGAAAACTAGCGAAGCTGCTCGTGCTGAGGGGGTGGAGACCCAGCGATTGTCGGATATGGCTTGGCCCTAGCAGCTTAACACGTGCCGCCGCCCATAACGACTCAACCCCGTAAACTCATCACAATTTAGAGCTCCGGCTGGTGATGAAGTCCTCTAGCACTACACATGTACAGCTATTGAGTTTACTTTCTCCTTCGAGCCTCCGAAGCCTTCTCGCGATTGTGTGGTCGGTCCGGATGCCACCGCATGGCCATCGCTCCTGAGTGGGTAATCAGATATTTGGTTGAAGAATCGGGGGGACTTTATGGGACTTTGCAATTGGCTCTGACCTGGCTTATAGTACCAGGCTTGCAGTTGATACATGTTGTTATACTTATGATCGACTGTGAAGGTGGGCACACCATGGACCAACCTGTAACCTGTCATGGCAAAAGTGTATAAGTCCGGTGTGTGTTTGTGTGCATATGTGCAGACGTGTGAGTGAAATAGACATAGCATTTGCATATTTGCATAGTATCGTAACTCGAGTTGCTTTCCCTGCGCTAAGTCATGTCTTGTGATACTCAGTGAGTGTATGAGACCTAGAATTCCTCCCTTACAAAAGCGACAGGAAGAACCGATCCAAGAGCTCCCGAAACGAGCAGAACTTGAAACAGAAAGGGCACTCGACCGGCAACTACCGTGCTACAGAGTCCTGGGCCTCAGAGCTTCCAAGGATCAATTTTATGAAAAAAATTTGAGACCGTGCTCGATGTTGACGATCACCGGGTTCCTAAAAACATGTGCATACATACATACATACATACACACACATATGTATATATATATATGTGTGTGTGTATGTATGTATGTATGTATGTATGTATGTATGTATGTATGTATGTATAGGCAGATAGAAAGATCGCAAGTGGCAAACACCCTTACTGACTGCGGCCTTTCATAAACTCACAAAGCTACAGGTGAGTCCAATATACCTTCACACGTCACCTGAACAAAACTGCGCCCGTACCAACTCTCAAACAAAGCAGAACTCCCCTGAATAACATGAAGCAAGCACAACGATGTTCGATGCAGTAGTTGCAACCACGTAGAGTACACTAAAGCGATGTATGCAATGCTGCCAAAGGTAGCGCCCGCAAGGCTGAACAGCAAGCAGCAACGACAACAGCAACAACAACAACAACAATGATGACCAGTGTGCAACTCAAACCATATGATGAAATTGCCTTTTACTATGACCTTTCGTTGTCATCATCATTAGGGCTGTTGCTGCTGTTGGAAGCATTGCGCAGGACTGAACGAAAGTACCGGAACGAAAAACACGCGCAAGCAACGGCAAACCGCATCAGGAATTGCAAGGGTATTTTCTATCGCTGCCAGAGGAATCAATTCTCGTAGGAAGACCCAAAACACCAACCCCGGAATGATACTACTAGGCATAGTCACTGCATGGCGGTGTCACAACAAACCACCCTTCGCAGCCCTGAGCCTACGCCCCGAACCCCATAAATCTTCAGCCAAATCCCACGAGCCAAGGCTCTGTAAGCCTTTTTCAGCTCTTCAGGGGACGGCTTGGCCGAAGGCGGGAAGCCCAGAAGAGCCTTAGATTCCCTGAGATCGTGATGATTTATGCCTGGGGCCCCGAAAGTCTGTAGAATAATGGCTTTTTATTATAGGTGTTCTTTTAGCTGCTGTCGGTAACAGCATGTCCCCTGACAGTCCCTGTACCGGTGCTACCTGGGAGAGATCTTATAGACAGGTAGCTGAAGGATCTTTGTCTGCACGCTTTCTGGAAGGGAACTGCCGGTACAGGGCCTCGTCCCCCTTCGTTGAGTGGCTTTTGACTCTCACAACTCGCACACGGCAGGCAAGAATGCCCACAGATTCCAAGCAAGAGGAATGATGCACTTAAAAAGCTCCAGAGAAGAATCAATCCTCAACCCAGAGTAGAACCCGGAAAGATATCCCCGTAATGGTTTTTGGCTTAAGGCTCCAAGGTTGTACAGACTGTCACGCTCGCACAGGGCAGGCAAAGGATTTAGGGTTTTAGGGATTCAGGATCTTGAGGTTTTGAAGCTCGGGGTACCGCCCACAAAAAGGGATTGTTCTTCTGGTCCTCCACAGAACCAACACCACGGAGAAGAACTGGAATTAACAGGCAGCAGCACTAGGGCACTAGGGCTAAGGTTCAGAGGGGTACTCCCAGATGCCAACACTCGATCACGAATCGCGCCGTTATCGTAAAACTGCATGCTGGGGACAAGCCGAGCATGAACATGATGCAAAGAGGCAGGGAGTGTGAACATAACTTGCAATCCCAAGACGTCTGAAATTGCCTGTGACATGTTGTTGACAGCAGCGAATAGTCTGCTGCGAAGCGGTTTTTGCTTCTGGACTCTGGATGGCAATGGTATCTTGAGTTCACGGTTGCAATATGACTACTAGCCATGCCCCACGAAACCAAGCCACGTGTTCAAGCACGGCCGTAAACTTCAAGCGAAACTACAGGCGGTTATTATTAAGCAAAGGGTTTGCTTAACTTTGGCAGCGTGAAAAAATTCTTTTGAGCTCTGCAGTATGCACTGAACTTTGGCCCTTCAGGCAGGCCCGGTTTGCAACGACACCTTCTCGACAGGATGCATGGGTCGCCTAATTGTACATGACATTACATGCAACCGCCGGTATGTGATAAGATAAACAGCATCTCGTGATTCCAGATATATCTCTCGGCACGCTATTCTACCAATTCAGGCCCCGGAAGTGCAAACAAATGCTCGCTCGAGGAGTCAGGCCACCAAGTGCTTTTCGCGCATGTCGGCCTTGAGGAGAGGCGGACGGGGCCCCGCTGTGTTGGAAGACTCCTGGTGCCGGGTGTTGTGGCTTACGGTTAGAGCTCTACAAACAGACGCTCCGTTGACTTGTTATCCTCGAAGAGAAGAGGTAGCAGCTCGACATGTTCTTGAACCAATGTGCGTGACACTGCGGACCGAGCAAAAGAGTAAATGGCAACAGCTGACACAAGCACAGCCACAATGCCAACGATACTCCTGCTGCTGCTGCTGGTGCAGTAGCAGTAGCGAGACAGTGCAGCGGCTGTGGGAGTAGCAGTTGCTAAACTAGTAGCAGTCGTCGTCGTCGCTCGAGCAGTAGCAGAGGGAGTAGCAGTAGTAGAAGAAGTGTAGTAGTAGTAGTAGTAGTAGTAGTAGTAGTAGTTGTTAGTAGTTAGTAGTTAGTAGTTAGTAGTTAGTAGGTAGTTAGTAGTTAGTAGTTAGTAGTTAGTAGTTAGTAGTTAGTAGTTAGTAGTTAGTAGTTAGTAGTAGTCGTAGTAGTCGTAGTAGTAGTAGTAGTAGTAGTAGTAGTAGCAGCAGCAGCAGCAGCAGTAGGAGTAGGAGGAGGAGGAACAGCAGCAGAAATCAGCTTGGCAACAATGGAATTCGGAACGAGGGCCCTGGTCTTAATGCCACAGCTATCGACTATTCTGCCAACATTAACGATATGTCAAACCAGCAGCTGAATTGTGACACTGTGGTAACTCATACTCTGAGACTGGTGCCATCTGCTTACGCATGAATACATACATACATGCACGCGCACACACCTACACATCTACATACATGCATACATACAGCATGCATACACATACATGCATGGCTACATACATACATACATACATACATACATACTTACATACTTACATACTAACATAACATAACATAACATGCCATAACATAACATGACAAAACATAACATAACAAAGCATAGCATAGCATAACATAACATGACATAGCAGCACATACCAGAACGTAACATAACATAACATAACAGAGCAAAACATAACATAACATGGCATAGCATAGCATACCATACCATAGCACAACATAGCATAACATAACGTACCATGACATAACATAACAGAACAGAACATAACATAAAAAACACATAGCATAGCATAACATAACATGCATTACATTACACATTACACTACATTACATTACATTACATTACATTTACATTACATTACATTACATTACGTTACATTACAGTGCATTACACTACATTATATTGCGTTACATTACGCTACAATACGTTACATTACATTACATTACATTACATTACATACACATACGTGTGTATGTATGTGTGTATGTATGTATGTATGTATGTATGTATGTATGTATGTACGTAGGTAGGTAGGCAGGTAGGGAGGTGGGTATGTATGTAAGCGTAGACCCGGATATGTGTGTTTATTATATATATATATATATAACACATGCAGATTAATTTATTTTCCTGGTGGCAGGTACGCAAACAGCAGTGGCAGTCCACCCTCGGCCCCATCAATGCGGATGTTGCTGTTTCTGGTGTGCTGAAAGTTGAAGTTTTATCTGCCCATCCTGTCAATAAGCAGTCAATGTTGCAAGCTTTGGCACCGGAACGCACGCAATGACCAGACATCAGCGGAAAAAAAGGGTGCCCGGCAATACTTGAGACCTGGACTTACTTAAGCAAGCACATAACAGAAAATTGTGTCATACCGGAGAAAAACATGGAACTTCGATAAGCCATTCGGTGGGAATCCAGAGATGCAGTTTCTGTGGGTAAGGGATGGCTTTCAGATCGAGTTTTTGTAAGATGGTCTGCGCTGCATATGTGCAGCTTGAGGTTAGAGTTCCGCAGTGGTCGTTCTATTGCTGTGGGCTACTTGGACGCCAAACCCCACCTTGCTTCGGCTGCCCCTGGAGCGAGGCATACCTCAGGTTGGCCGAGCATGGGTCCGAGCACTGCCGCACACCGTCTGAGCAGATGGAAGTTCTTCGAGACTGGGCTTGCTCGCTTGTTTTTGTTTCCACCCGCCCAGCTGACTATGTCGCATCGCAGGGAACTCGTCCGACGAACTAAAGACACAACGTGTGCAAGGTCTAGGGTCAGATGCAAGCCCTCTGAGAAAAAAGCCACCACCAGTAGACACACCCGATAACAGAGGAGGGACAGCACCAACGCCGACCTCAAGTCCTATNNATAGGACTTGAGGTCGGCGTTGGTGCAGTCCCTCGCTTGGTTTAAGCCGTAGGTATTGAACAACAGCAACCCTATTACAAAGAGCCATACCTGTGACTAGCAACCAGCACGAAACACGCACCCACGGTCGAAGCTTAATATAGAAGTTCAGTGAACCAAACTCCCCAAATCCAGCACCCAAGCATTTCCAACGTCCTTGAGAGCAAGAAAAGGCTAACTCGTAACATAACTTCTGAGGCCACGAGGGCTTGGTAGATCTGGAGAATTTCACTCTTCAACCACTGGTCGAAACGTTGAGAACCCAAACCCTGAACCCTAAACTCTCGCTTCACATTGCCCCAGACTCCCGAACTCGGAACAGCAGCTCGCCAAAGCCAAACCGCCCTTTCAACAATTAAAAATCCGCTCACTGGCCCCAAAATCAAAAATCCTACTGCAAAATAGGGTTTGGGGCCGTTTAGGGATTAGGGTTTAGGGAAACCCCAAACCCTACGCCCCAAATTGCCGGGAAGCTTTCATCGAAAGAGTCTCTTCTCTCGAAGCTGGGCTTTGCTTTCGCCTGCGCCTCTTCGACCCCCGAAAATGAAGCTACGAGCTGCGGTGCGCTGTTGCTTCAAGGTTCAGGGTTTAGGGCCTAGGCTTTACATGCGTGTGCTTGGATTGGTCAGGGCTTGAGGATACCAGGTTCGTATGGGATCACGGATTGCTGATATAGTTCATATGGGGGGGGCTTAGTCAATGGAATAGGGTCTTGGTGTGTGTTGTAGTATATGTTTACCGGAACCATACGGGGATTCCGACCCCTATAGCAAGCTTTGGGGAGTCCGTGCTTGTGGTTCTTAAAAAAGGGGCCCTTGACGAAAGCCGTATATAGCCTCAGGTGTTGAACGCGATACAGTAGTATGGTTTCTCGAGGGCGGGTAGCTGTGAGTGAGTTTCAGGGTGTACGGGCTCGACTCGAAGAAACTTTGAAGCGCTACACGTACTTCTGGAAGCCCGTGGCTTCTTGCAGGCACCAGAAAGTCCAATCAATCAAAAAAAGTTGTACCAAGGTGAATGGATTAGGTAGAGTTTGCGCTTTATCTCATCCCCGAACCTCAATCCCTATAAAAACTCTAGAACCCTAAACCCTAGACGATTATAGATCCCTTTAAAGGACCCAAAAACCCTAAACTCTTATAGTTCCCCGCTATATAGGGGCCTGAATAACTAGACTAGGGTCTTGGGGGTTCCTTCTTCTAACTATAATATATATATATAACAATATATATATATATATACTATATAGAATAGACCCCCCAAGCCCTATCCTAATTATGCGGCCCCCCATATTAAACCGAGCCCCTAAACCCTAAATAGGCCCTAAACTAAACCCCTATCAACCCCAATGCGCCTAAAACCCTAAACCCTCAACCCTAAAACCCTCAACCCCTAAACCCCTACATAAACCCCTCAAGCCCTAAACCCAAGAGCCCCTAAAACCCTAAAGCCCTAAACCCTTCAAGCTCCCTAAACCCAAGAGCACCTGAAACCCTAAAGCCCTGAACCCTAAACCCAAGTCCCTAAACCCTAAACCCTTTTCAACCCTTTTTTCCTAAACCCTAAAACCCTAAGCCCAAGAGCCCCTAAAACCCTAAACCCCAGCACCCGAAGCGATGGGACCTGGGCGGGTTTCTCGCCGCGCCCGGGCCGAGGCCGGTCCCAGGTGTCCTCTTCGAGCTCTTTAGGATTTAAGGGTTGTTGTAAGGGTTTAGGGCTTTTAAGGGGTTTGGGGGTTTTAGGGGTTTAGGATGTACCTGTAGGTCTCCATTGTAGATTTTCGGATCCTCTTAGGTAACCCAAAAAAAGGGAACTACAAGGGAGACTATAGATAGGGTTCACCGTAGAGACTTCCGGGGTTTAGGCCAATAGGGTTTCGGTGCTCACGCTACGGTTCAAGATTTCGGATCTAGTATGCATGATATGATGAAAGGCTTAGGCTTAGGACTTAAAGGGTCGATTTCGATTTCGAAACGCCTCCTCTTCTTGTCGGGTTTCTGCATCAAGGACGGCTTTTGAGCGGGTGGATGGCGGACGGTGCAAGCCCCTCTCCGACTCTGGGGCCGGGGGTAAGGGTAAGGGGGGGGGGGGGGGGGCGCATGTGTGACAGGCCCCATGTGCCATAACCCCAATAAATAGCCGGCGCTTCAGGTCTTCACGAATGCCCAGAGAACCCCGACCACCGACACCTCAGAAGGGCTGGGTGTAAACCCAGAAACTCTCATCAGCTTGCAGGACACAAGGTTCTGCCTCCGGACCGCCCCGTAGCACCGCACAAGCCCTCAATCCTGAATAGTGTCATGAGTCCCCAAAGCTAGACACCCTGATATCATCGGCCTGAGTCCGCTCGTGGAACTCAGACCGCCGGGACCACCAACTCGCCGGCATGGAGGAGGCCCCAGAAGCCTTCGAAGAGGGGTCTTCGGCTAAGTCAGTTGCACACCCTGGTCGTGCGTTCTGAGTCTTCCGGAAAATCTCGAAGTTGTTGATAGCTACGGCGGCGCTAAATTCTCACGGTTGGCTTCCGAAAACAAGCCCTGCCCCTAAACCCTTCCGGAAAAAAACAAAAAAACACAAGCTCTTACCAGAAATACCCAGGCCTGCAGCCTTCGAGCGGGGCTCTGATTTCTGTCGCGGTGACAACTAGACCTAGAACAGGGAGTCGAAGACCTGCAGTCACCCAAAAAACCCTCTAATGGTTTGGATGGAAGTCCCTCACCAAGGGGCCCCACTGTCTGCACGGCTCCGTGGCTGCGAGGATGCGCTGCTCTGAGAACGTTTGCTGCCAGCTCGCAACTCCTCCTCGCCCGGAATCGTGCCCGCAAAGCGCATCCTTAGCGGTTTCCCAGGACTGCGCCTGTAAATCCGAAAGCCGGAAAACATTCTCAAGCCGATTAGGTCATCATGGGATCTCAGGTTGGTAAGAGCCAGCTACCTACAATTTCGCCGTGTAAGTGTGGCGAAACATACATATTATAGGTATCGGTATCGGTCTGTATGTATGTATGTATGTATGCATGCATGTATGTACGTACGTACGGCTGTATGTACGGATGTATGTATGTTTGTTCGTTTGTATGAATGTATGTGGATTAGTACATGTATGTGTATATCTACATATGTAAGAAACACTATTGAAACCCCGCGGGTACCAAGAAAGATGCCCCAAGTTCATTCCTCAGTCCGCCGTCAGCGTCATGGTTCGGATTCTGGACCGTGAAACAGCTGCAGTACGATTCTGCAAACCATGTTGGAATCAAGTCATATGACGCAGTGCAAAGTTGATGGTCAAAGGGTATACCGCAAGCGAAGATACATCCTGCCAGCTAGTGTGCGTGCGAGTAAGCACCATGACTCACGTCGATGGGCAGGCAGTGCAAACGGGATCGTACATGTTTGCTCCACCCACACCGGAAGTCACGAGGTATCTGCATGCGGCACAGCTAGCCTTCACGCAGTCAATCCACCCTGCAACAGCGCAGCCAAGTCTCCAAGTCTTCCATCGTTGCACCCAGGAGGGTGACAGGTTGGCCGACGGCGTGTGCGGCGGAGGCTTGTGTGAATTCCTGCACCACGGGCTCGCTGCTGGGCACAGCTGGTACCCCACGATTCGGCCTTTGAGCTTCGTTGCTTCTTGAATATGGTTGTGGCGCAGCCGTAAGTGTGAAGCATGCAATCCTCACTGCCACGGCCGAAGGACGAATTGCGGAGGTCCTGACTTTCAGCCGGAAACCTAGATTCAATAAGTTGCCAATCAATCAGTAATGCACCTCTCAGCCAACATAATTTTTCTCGATCAAACACGAACACCTGTCCGTCCGATGGGCCCATTATCGTTGAAACCACGGGACCACAAGCGTTCAGGGTTGAGGGCAGTTTCAGGCTTATAGACTTAGGGCTAAAACGGCTAAAGCGGCTAAAGCTCATAAGGACCCCTGGAAAAGCCTACATCCACATCCACTACAGTACAACAACACTCTCTTCAAGCACTCGGAGCCTTGTTCCAGATGTTGGCCCGTGTGCACTCGATGGCCGAGTAACCTGGAGAAGACCGGGCCCTAAAATAGAAGCTCGAACGCGTGCCTTAACAGCTAGTGTGGGGTTTTGGGGCATGCTTTAGTATAACTGTGCCGATAAGCCAGTGTTAGAATGTTCGAGATGCCAGTCTCACGTGGTTGAGTTTTCAGCACAGACGGGCTGTAGCGAACAGGCTCACCTATTTAACCTATTTGCGACCAGTCGACCTTGCGGTGAGGAGGGCTCTTGTAGAATTGAACTTGGGAACCTCCATGCCAAACTATCGGAACGCGCGATGAACATGTCAAGCACACGCTCCCCAAAACCGACTGCTTCCGCAGAAACCAAGGGCTTCATACAAGAAAGCTTGAGAGTATCAGGCTTTAAAGAAGGGATTTCCGAAAGAGGATGCCAGAGCCCGCGCAAGAGTGTGCATGTGAAGTGCTGACAGAAGCTTGAAGGAAGCTCATAGGAATAGGGAATCCATCCGAAAGTTGGGTGCCTCAAGACTCAAGAAACCCTAAACCCTAAGTTAAGCCTGCTAGTGGTGAAAGCCTTCCCGGCCTCAGGGCCCGGTTGCCGCAAAGGTTCCGCGGAGCCTCGCTTTTCCGCCTTAGAGGAGACGATCTCTGGCTTCTCCAGTCTATGAATTTTGTCCTTCCCAAAATGTACCTTCGGGTTTTATAGTAAACCCCGAAAAGTTGGAAACCGGATTAAGGACAATTAGTGCTGGGATTGCCTATACATCACTCTTAAGGAATGAGGCCATTGAGTCTCCAACCTTCGGGCTCCTAGTGTACGCATGTCCACGTCACTTTCACTTATTGGCTTTCTCCGTGTTCATATGCTGACAATTTCTTTTTCACCCGGGGAGAACGTGGAAGAGCTTTGCGCCGCTAGGACTTCCCCCCGCCCACGAAGTGCGACTCGCACATACTCGTATTGGGGATTGGCGACTGCTTCGGGAAAGGCCGTCTCATTGCATCCTACTGTACTGCAGCTGCACACGCAAGCACTTCTTCCGAAAAAACTTGTGCAGCCGAGCATCGGTGAAGCTAGCAGAGGTCCTGACACCAAAGGCAAGTTTTACACACGCAGAAACGAGAAACACGCGCTGGACGTTTGAGAAGTGAAATAGGCACGACCATCAACACATGGGAAGTTCAACACAACGCGATGTGTCGTGCAAACAAACCTCCAGGCAGTGCCGACTCCACGCACCACGCAGCCCAAAAGACAATAATTTTTTGTCGAGCCCCTACAGCCCTCAACCCTGGCACACACGCCAACTCTTTCGTGTTGAACCACTCTGTGAAACTTTACAGCCTGTAAACCCTCAAACCGTGAGCCGGCAAAGTCTGGATCCTCGAGCTTCACAACTTAAAGACCTTCAAGATCCTGAACACCTTCAAATCCTAGACCCAGAGACAGCCCTAAACCCTGCCACTAGAATTACCCTCAAACTGCCGCAGGCAGGGGAACTTCCCTTAAATTAGTGATCCCTTAAAGAGCCTGCATGAAATCCGATTAAAACTCGATAGAACTCTCGGGTCTCTTCTAGATCTTCAAGAGGGAACCCCCGTAGAACATTTCAAGGAACCTGCCAAGGCTATTCAAGCAATAAAGATGCATGCTCTATCATATCATATCAAATCATACAGACCATATCATAACATGCCATAATTTTATGTTTTACTATAGAAGAAGTAAGCTGTACCAGTGTAGCATCGTGAAGCAAAGTGTATTACGTTATGATTACTATATTACACTGTATCGCATTATATCATATGCCAGCTTAGCATTAATTAACAACAAGAGAAACCGCTAGCATAGATGGAGAAACCTCGGGCATAAGAGGAGAGCCCATGAGCATCAGAAAACAACCGTGTCGGGGACGGGATGGAGGCATGGAGGTCGATGGAGACATGAAGGTGGACAGCATAAAAATAGAAACCTTGAGCATAAAAGTTAAAACCCAGCACATATCATATGATATCCTACTATGCCACAATACATTGTACCTGACATGTATGTGTATATATATGTATATATATATATATGCACACACATCCACCCATCCATCCATCCGTCCATCCGTCCATCCATCCATCCATCCATCCATCCATCCATACAATCCATACAATCCGTGCCATGCATATTTTACATAACTATAACTATATATATATGTATATGTATATATATATATATGTGTGTGTGTGTGTATGCGCGCGTGTGCGCGCGTGTCTGTATGTGTATAGAACTCTTCAACCAGCAATGGAAGTTACGAAAACTCCTAAGAAGCCTATGAAACCCTGAAAGGAGGCCTTAACCCCTAAATCCTCCCATGTCAAAGCGCGTTTGTATGAGGGAGACCGCACCTTAGGCCTGGAGCGCTCGACGGCCGCTGCCGTGGTCGAGGTGCCTTTGCTTGGACGGCTGGCGCTGTTGTTGGTAGGTTTTATTAAGGTTTAGGGTTTAGGGGTTGAGGGTTTAGAGTGGGTTTTACAAGGTTTCATGGCGGCTTGTCGAGTTATATAGTTTTTGGGTTTATGCAGGTTACGGGCTCCGCAGCCTTTGCGTTGTAGGGTGATTGCCTTCGGCATGGCTCGATAGTAGTCTAAACGTATTATAGGGCGTCGTCCTTGGCAGCTCAGAGATACGAGCACTGCCGTCCCCGCTACAAGTAACTATATGTAGCGGCAGGGTATACATGGATTTAGGATTCAGTTTCGAAGGCTTACGTTTAGGGGGCTTGAGTAAGGCTTAGAAGCTTAGGCCAGGCTCGTGCTTTTACAGTTTTGGAGGATATTGGGCAAAGTGGCTTAGTGAGGACTGGCACCAGTCCCCCATGCAAAAGTTCAAAGTACATGATGGCATGACCTGACTGAGAAGGCACCGGCGATCTTAGCACCTCAAAGATGCTGAGGAAGTTGAGAGATGGGCTTAAACAATGGATATCAACACTCAGTTCCGGACACGCCTGTTTTGTTTGCAAATCCTGGGATCCCTCACCAAGCTCCTTTTTCCCGGAGACTACCATCTAAATAAGCCGCTCAACCAAAGGCCCAATAGCCCAAGGTAGGGCAACCCGCTATGCATGTTGCGATGCAGCGCAGGCTTCAAAGACTTTTGGAAAGTAACAGACCTAACTGTAACTGCTACCGGCTTATGGCCGGGCTGCATCAGGGTTCTGAACGGCCAACAGTTAGGGCTAGGGCTTGCGATTTGGGAGGCGCAGTCGTCAACCCAGTCTCACATGTGAAGTTGCCAATCGCACCGCGCTGGAAAAGGCAAGACGAAGAAAAACCAGTCGCTTCAGAAGGCAATGCTGCTGCTAGTTCTTAGGCACTCCGAAACATGTACACTTAAAGCCCACGCCGTACTCCCAAAAGAGCATCTGTGATCCGATGCACCTGGCCGTCGTCGGCTTTGTGGAACTGGGCCTCGCGACAACAACTAGGATCCCTGCAGTTGCGTGCCGCAGTTGCGCAATTTGCGGTAAAAAGAAACGCACCGTCAAACAGCAAAAAAGCAAACTGAAAGATCCCACATTGTAGGTTGTGTCTGATGCATTTTCCGCTGCCTGCAGGGTCTGCCTCGTGCTACAACCGACAAAGCTGCCCGACATCATAGTTGCCCGTAGAAGACAGTACAGCCCTGTAGCTATGTTATAGGTCGCAAGATCCATGCACACACACACACACCGATATGTATGCACATGTATGCATGCATGCATGCATGCATGCATGCATGCATGCACGTACGTACGTACATACGTATGTATGTATGCATGTATGTATGTATGTGGTTATACGTGTATGCATGTGTGTATTCATGCATGAATGTATGTATGTATGTATGGATGGATGGATGGATGGAACTTAGCTGGCTGGTTGGTTGGTTGGTTGGTTGGTTAGCTAGCTAGCTAGCTAGCTAGCTAGCTAGTTAGTTAGCTACTTGGTTACTTAGTTCTTAGTTAGTTGGTTGGTTAGTTGGTTAGTTAGTTAAGTTAGTGCATTAGGTAGTTAGTGAGTTAGTTAGTGAGTTCTATAGCGAGTGAGTTAGTGAGTTTGTGAGTTAGTGGGTTGGTTGGTTGGTTGGCTGGCTGGTGGGTTGGTTGGTTGGTTGGTTGGTTGCTTGGTTGGCTGGCTGGCTGGCTGGCTGGTTGCCAGTGATTTCTAGTGCACCATAATGAGTCACAGTGTCAGTGAGTTAAGTGAGGAATTTCCTGAGTGATTTTGTGAGTCAGTTGGTTAGATAGTTCTTGAGTTACTTAGTTGATTCATGTGGTACGTGTTCTGCTTGTGTTGTCTTGTTTGTTGGATTGTTCGTGTGCTTTGTGCACCTGTGGGTCTGCGTGTATAGTGATGTTTGTGTTTCTAGGGCAAGCTTCTTCGCTGAAGTTGTTAGCTGCTCTTTTGAAGGGAAGATATTGCCTTTTGGAGCAGGCACGCCCAAGCCGCGCCTCGTATGCGGCAAAGCGTGGGAACATGGACGCAGCTGCAAAGGTTGGCGTCGACGACGCGCCTTTCATCCCCATCGGCCTCTCTGCCGTGCAGGCACCGTGTGATGCTTGGAACACCTCGGCAAGCAATCTACGGTAAACTTGGCAAGGGCTCGGGGGCTTGCAGCCAAGAAAGAGGCAGGCACTACCACTTCTTCAAACCTTGGTCTGCTGAACTCCGCCTGCACACGCAGCAGGCTACCTAGCTAGCTTATAGGATTGTCGTGCAGCTCCGTGCAGTCCGTAGGACTGCTGGCTCAGATTGTCGACCGCTGACATATGCTTCGGGTCACAGAATATTATCGCGGAGGATGCCTCAATTGACAAACAAACAACCTGCGCCAGAGGTGTGCTTTCTTGTGATATCTCGTCGCGGCACCAATGCCTTTAAACCGCGACATGTTGAATCGCAAGCATCTTGACAGCTTCGCCCAAAGTCCGAAGACCCCCGGCATGCAGCCACCCAAAGTATATCCGCTCCCAGTGGCTGGATGGTCCAAGTCCACCCCTGCCGTTCGATACCTGGGCGGAGGCATTGTCAAAAGACAGTGGCGAAGTCTAAATCCTACCAGGCGGCACCTAAGTGAGGCACATGATGAACCCAAACACAAGCTCTGCACTTCAGGCACCGTAATAAACAAAAGCTTGTACCACGCATGAAACGCCGGCACTTATGTCTTGCCTGCAGCACATTACTCGCTTATCCAGCCCGCCAGCTACTGTACAAATGAAAAATCAACTTAACAGACTGTTCTCCACTAAGATGACTTTGCTATCCTTCTCTGCATGCGTGTGTGTGTGTGTGTGTGCGGGTGTGTGTGTGTGTGCGTGTGTATAATATATATATATATATGCACATATATATATATATGTATATATATATATATATACGGCAGCTCATTCGAAGAAGCTCCTAACCTCTTGTGAAACTGCCCATGACCACCACACGACCTCACTCTTTCCGCGGAGTAGATCCGAATCTCAAATGACATGTTACTGTTCTGTACATGAATCCTGTATATTCGGCAATCTATGGCCAAAACTCCGTGTTTATGTAGACCTGCAGTGAAGCGCCAGGGTACGGCGCAGGTGGACGTGCTCTGGGAGCATCGGCGCGAAGCTCCTCAGCCCTCCGCCAAGACCTGGGCTCTTGTTTCTCGGAGGCAAGGCGGTTCACTTCCGGGGTTTCAGAACAGGTCTGAGGGTGCCCGTCGCTGCAGCATCTCGCAGTGCTACAGCAACTGCCAGACGCAGGTCGACGGACAAGCACACCTAATGGACCTATAGACGACGTCTCCATACGTCCCCTTAGCCACGGGACATCATGCATGCGGCATAAACAGGTTCGAAAACGAAGCATTTCGCCTCTTGGGGAATCGTAGTGCGCTTAGCAGTACTGCACCGACTGCAGGAAGCTTACATGCCTTACGGCAGATTCCTAATCATGATGACCCTCTGTCCTGATTCCGACACAACATGTGTAATGGTTATTCAGGGTTTAAGCAGATAAAGTGTTGCCCAAGCGACGGCTGAGGAGAAAGGTCCGGCGATGCGGACTCTGGCGGGGAGTGAGGATGCGTCGTGCTGGATTCCCAGGACTGCGCAGCCTCTGCTGACGAAGGGACGGGCACGTGAAGGTTGGTCTGTTATTCGTCCGACTGGGACCGACATAAATGGCACTGCTGCGCCCTGGCCACTGGCTCGTTTCACCTGAAAACCGAAAACCACAAAACCCTAAACCCGAAACACCTAAACCCTTCCCCCCGGAGGGGCCTCCGCAGAATCCGACTCCTGGATGCAGGTCAACACGAAGCCGAGAAGGCAATCATCAGTCAGGAAATGAGGGTTGAGGGTTTAGGGGTTGCAGGGGTTCGAGTTTAGGGTTGATTAGGGGTTAGGGTTGCAGACTTCGGAATACTTCCACAAGGGCACCATGAGAATACTCTAGGGGTCCTTTTGCAACGGCATTGTTAGGCCTCAGGATTTCGGACTTCAGAGACGGGGGCTTTAGGTTCTAGGGCCCTAAACAATAAAAACACTGTGTCCGGACCATATTTTTTGTGTGCCCTTTGCCAAGCCGTAAACCCAGACGGGCGAATCGGGTTCCTGCAAAAACTCAATGCATTTCCGCGCAGCTCCTTTTAACAGGGTGGAAACCATAAAAACTGATTGGTTCAACTTATAAGTATCAGATGGTACAAGTATCACTTGTCTTTACGTGGTCATGTCGACAAATCTTGCCTTGCACCCTTTTCAGCACGGACCGAGGTGCCGGCCAGCGCCCTGACGAAGGGACGGTGTAATCGTCAGCGGTCTATTCGAAGCCCGCCATCCCTTCACTATGGGTCCATCAAACCCCAAACCCGCTCCTGAAATAGGAAGTTGTCAAACTCCGGCACTTTTCCATTGAGGTTGTCCTTGGAAGCGATGGTCACCTCAAGGCCCCGGCGAGGGGGTCGTTCTCAAATCTTTATGCCGCGCTTGCCCGCACCCCCCCCCCCTGCCCCCCCCTTCTGTCCTGTCATTCAAGCTCACACCGTACCTGGCACACCGCTCGCTCTCTGAATTGTCTGTCTTTCTTCCGCCACCCCCCAACACCTCGTCCAATTTGCTGTGCAGATTCGCTTCCAGGACTCAAAACTACAATTCTACGACAAAGAGGGCCAACATGCGGTACAACAGAGAGAAACAGGCTTCACAACGAAGCCGAGAGTGTCGGGCTTAGGCTTCTGGCTTGGGGTTTTGGATTCACATAGGACCTGGGGCCAGAATGATCCGCTGTGTTCGGGCCTTCGTGGCACGCCAGCTGGGACGCGACGGCCTAGTTGCTGTCGTCCTGACTTCATCACCTTCAGGGTGTGTGCGGCTTTGTGGATGCGGATCCCAGAGATTCAGCTCTCTCGACCATGACTGTTGCCATTGAGAGGCATTTCGAATGCAGGAAGGCAAACGCTACAAGAACCCTGTGGACCTGAACCTTGCTGTGCTGTGGTTTTGTGTGTCGCGCGCGCAACGGTGACTGGAAAGCGAAAAACCCGAAAAGTCGCAAAATCTGGTGGAAACGGAAAACCGCAAAAATTCGAATTTTCGGGTTTTCGAATTTTCGAATTGTCGTGTGTCGCGCGCGCAACGGTGTCTGGAAGGCGAAAAACCCGAAAAGTCGAAAGTTCAAAAAATCTGATGTAAACCGAAACATGCGAAAATTCGAATTTTCGAGTTTTCGAATTTTCGCATTGCCGTGTGTCGCGTACGCAACGGTGACTGGAAAGCGAAAAAACCCGAAAAGTCGCAAATTCGAAAAATCTGGTGGAAACGGGAAAACGCGAAAATTCGAATTTTCGAATTTTTGAGTTTTCGAATTTTCGAATTGTCGCCCGCGCAACGGTGTCTGGAAGGCGAAAAACCCGAAAAGTCGAAAATTCAAAAAATCTGGTGTAAACCGAAACATGCGAAAATTCGAATTTCGAATTTTTGAATTTTCGATTTTTCGAGTTTTCGAATTATCGAATTGCCGTGTGTCGCGTACGCAACGGTGACTGGAAAGCGAAAAACCAGAAAAGTCGAAAATTCGGAGAAAAAAAATTGATGTAAACCGAAAAAAGCGAAAACTCGAATTTTCGAGTTTTCGAATTTTCGAATTGCCGTGTGTCGCGTACGCAACGGTGGCTGGAAAGCGAAGAACCCGAAAAGTCTAAAATTCGGAAAAGTTTGATGTAAACCGAAAAGCGTGAAAATTGGAATTTTCGAACTTTCAGAGTTTGGAATTGCCATGTGTCGCAGTACCAGTAGTAGTAGTAGTAGTAGTAGTCGTAGTAGTAGTAGCAGCAGCAGTAGTAGTACTAGTAGTACTAGTAGTACTAGTAGTACTAGTAGTACTAGTAGTACTAGTAGTACTAGTAGTATCA